GTTGATCTCTCCTTATCTCGTGGAATATATTCCATTACATGGATATATCTTTTTTTTTTTTAATCCATTACCCATTTGTATTATTTCCAGTTTGGGGCAATTAAAAATAATGCTGTTATGGGCCGGAGTTGATCTCTCCTTATCTCGTGGAATATATTCCATTACATGGATATATCTTTTTTTTTTTTTAATCCATTACTCATTTGTATTATTTCCAGTTTGGGGCAATTAAAAATAATGCTGTTATGGGCCGGCCCTGTGGCTCACTCGGGAGAGTGCGGCACTGGTAGCGCCAAGGCTGTGGGTTCGGATCCTATACAGGGATGGCCGGTGCACTCACTGGCTGAGCGTGGTGCAGACGACACCGTGCCAAGGGTTGTGATCCCCTTACTGATCAAGAATAATAATAATAATAATAATAATAATAATAATAATAATAATAATAATAATAATAATAATAATAATAATAATAATAATAATAATAATAATAATAATAATAATAATAATAATAATAATAATAATAATAATAATAATAATAATAATAATAATAATAATAATAATAATAATAATAATAATAATAATAATAATAATAATAATAATAATAATAATAATAATAATAATAATAATAATAATAATAATAATAATAATAATAATAATAATAATAATAATAATAATAATAATAATAATGCTGTTATGAACATACAAGTACAAGTTTTTGTGCCAACATATGTTGTCATTTCACTCGATTAAATTCCTGGGAGTGGTTTTGATTACTTTTTTTTTCTGTATATGAGTCACACTTTCCTGTTTCTTTACATGTCTTTTGATTTTTTGTGAAAACTGAATATTTTAGATACTGTACTATAGCTATTATAAATTCTGGATTCTGACTTTTCCCTATCAAAGTTTACTGTTGTTGCTTTTGGGGGGGGAGAGTTTTGTTGTTTGTTTAGTAACTTGTCTAGAATAAATCTTTGAATTTCAGCCCTTATCACCCTGGTGTATAGTCAGTGATGTTTTGCTCATATTTTTTAAAATTCTGTTTTTGTTTTTTAGGCTTGTCTGTTGGAGTTATCTCTGTGTTTTTATAGTTTAGTGATTGTTCAGTAATTTCTCAGAGGTTGGGCTCAAACACCTTGAGCCAGCAAAGGCTTCACCTTCTGCTAGTGGATTTGTTTGTGGGTATATTAGTTTCCTGGAGCTGATGTTGTAAATGTCCCCCAAATTGTGGCTTAGAACAACAGACATTTATTCTCACACACATTTGGAGGCCAGAGGTCCAAAATCAAGGTGTTGACAGGGCCACACTCTCTCAAAAGCTCTAGAAGAGAATCCTTCTTGGCTCTTCCAACTTCTGGTGGCTCCTGGCAATCGCTGGCATTCCTTGGCTCCATCTCTCAGTCTCTGTCTTCACATGGCACCCTTCTTTGTGTATCTCTCTGTGTGTCTTATCCTCTTCTTATAAGGACTTCAGTCATTGGATTTAGGGCAAAGCTTAAATCCAGTATGATCCTATCTTGATCCTTCACTAATTATATCTGTGAAGACTCTGTTTCCAAATAAGGTCACATTCTGAGGTTCTGGGTGGTCATAAATTTTTTGGAGGACACGATTCAGTCCACTGCAGTGGATTCAGGAGTACATTCAAAGTTCAGGCAGTTTTCAAGTCTACTCCAACTTTTATTTTCCACCAGGCTCTCTTGTGATTTCTGTGTGCGTAGGCAAAAGATCCCAGTACGCTGGGATGTATGAATAGGTTGGGCATACTTTCATCCATGCCATTTCCAGTTAGTCGAGGATATATAGAGAGCTTATTGAATGCCTCCCTGTCTGCTGTATTGCCTGTATCTCCCTGTTAAATTTCTGGTTAGTTCACTGGCCTATTGCTTGCCCTAATTAGAACTACAGTCTCAGGATGGTAAAACCTCTGACCTTCCCTGTTAACTTGCCTCCGAGATTGTTACTTATTACTGGTATTGCCACGGGCCAGGGGTTTTTCGTCTTCTGCTCCAAATCAAGTCAGCCCCCACTGACAGTGAAGCTGCTGGTTATTTATGGCCTGCTCTACCCTATTAGAACCATTGTGATGAAATAGTGGCAGGATGAGAATAGCACTAGGCAAGAATGCTGCAGATTCCCACTGTTTTTTTTCTAAAGTTCAGTCATTTTTCATGAATTAATGCTGCTCAGTTTAAGTCTTTGGTCCATTTCTAGAGACAAATTTTTAAGGGGAGAGGATTTGGTGACCTCACTCCAGGAGTCTGGTATATTAATTTTGCTTCTCCTGCTAGATCATAACTTCTTGAGCAAGGAGACCACATTCAATATTTTTTTCAGTACTTTGTTTCCCTTTAGTGCCTAAAATAGTGCTGCTCACTGTCAGTGAACAATGAATAACTAATTTAAATATTATAAAATGCTTTCTAATATTGCACATTACATAATCTTTAAGACTGCTCTGTGAAGTGAGTAGACTGGGACCACATCCCCAACCATCTTCATTTTGTAGATGAGAATTCCGAAATTCAACCAAGTTAAATGACTTACCGAGGGGCAGTCAACTAAGTGAAAACCTGGGACGTGGACCAAGTCTTCTGATTTCTGGTCTATATTCTTTCCACTGCTCCATGTCACTATATTTTAAAATACAAAATTATAAAATAAATAACAAAGGAGTAAAGGGAGAGAATGTCAATTCTTGTTAAATAAGTTTGAAAAAAAATGAAAGACCAAAATGCAATAATAGCTGGATGTGCTGTCCAGCTAACTGGGCATCAAGTGGAGGGGCTGTCACATCCAGAAGTTGATTTTCTCTGCCCATTCCCAACTTTTCCTTGACTGCACTCTCTTCCTGGACTCAGATTAAGGCTTAGAAGTTATGAGGCATGATACTGCAGCAAATGGATCATGTTACATGAGTGTAGAGTTCAAGTTTCTGTAATGAAAGCAGTCAGACTTGCTTTCTACTTACCACTTGTAGAGTCCATTCATCATTAAGACAAAAGGACTTTTAAATGTATTATATCTTAGTTTCCCCAAACACTAGCTTTTTCAGTTTTCTTTTTCCTAGTTTGTTTAATTTCACATCACAAATCCTAATATATGAATGACAGAATTACCTTTTCAATAAGTTTACTCTTTAGAACAAGTTGCATCTGGTTTAGAAATTTGTTTAGGGACACAATGTGGTGTACACATTGTGTTTCTAGATGACTCTGAAAGAAATAGGTTAAAATAATAATTTGCTAATTATTTTTGGGAAGTCTCCTATGCCACTGTGCTGGGATCTGGGAAAACAGAGATGAGTAAGATCAGCTTCAGCTCTCATAGATTTCACAAACATGCAGGGCAGCAAACATGGAGACCAGGGTTCAAAGTGCAGTCCCCAGACCAGCAGCATCAGCATCACCTGGCAATTTGTTAGAGATGCAAAATCTTGCTCCCTACCCCAGACCTACTGAATCAGAAACTAGAGGGTGAGGCCAGCAATCTGTTTGAATATGCCTCCTAGTTGATTCTGATGCACATTACAGTTTGAAAACCACTGGTGTAGCCATATTTTAATATACTGTAGTCAGTACAACAGGAAATGTGTACATAGTAGATAAGTGAAAATTGCCAGCTATATTATTGGTAGAAGTGAAAGGGTTCAGGGAGGCTCCTTCTTTTTTTTTTTTTTTTTCCATAGGAAGTGATATTAGAAGTGTTCATGAGAAGCAGGATTCTGAGTCACTCTGTAGAGATTAGAGTTTCTCAGACTTAGGGTTTAGGATCCCTAGGTGGGACCTTTACAAAGAGCACTATAAAGAATTGGAATGATTAAAAACTATTAATTGCAGGCAGTGGCTCTTTATTTATGGGTGGGACTTTTGAGTGGATAGGGGAGAAAAAAGGGATCTCAAACCCAAACAGAATCTAGTATGTCTGGTATGAAATAACTCTGCTCCCTTCATATATGGGTCTTCAAAAAGTTCATGGAAAGATTTGTATTTTCTTTTAATTTTATTTTACCATGAACTATTTGAAGTACTCTTGTATGTCAGGATGTTTAAAGTCCCAACTAAAAATACAAATTTTTAAAAAAGAATTACTGAGCTCACAGTAGCCTTTGTTCAAGTACTTTATCAATAGATGATAGCACAGCAAGATAGAGAGATAGGATCTACAAAGATGTTTGTATGCAGACACAACTCTCCCACTTGCTGTATGATCTTGGGTAAATTACTGAACTCCTCTAAGCCTTAATTTCCCTCCTAGAAACTTGTGGTAGAAATATTGCCACTTCATATGATTGTTGAGAAATAACCCTGCTAGGACAATCAGTCATAATGCCTGGCCACAGTAAGTGCTCATACAACTGTAGGAATTATTCTGTTACAAATCAAAGAGTTTTGTAAAGACATGGAGTATCTATTACTAATAAAAGTAATAGAATATGCTTTAGGCTTTTTTGTTGTTGTTGTTGTTTTTCGGTGGCTGGCTGGTACAGGGATCCGAACCTGTGACCTTGGTGTTGTAAGGCTGTTCTCTAAACAACTGAGCTAACTGTCCAGCCCCTAAAATATGTTTCGAGATTAAAAATTGTCCTCAAATTAAGATGCTCTATAGCATATTATTATACTTAATGGAAAAATGTGATTTAGAAAATGTTAGTCAAAAGTCAGTTGCTTTCACTAATGTATTTTTTTTTTTTAATTCCAGAGACCTTTCAGTTTATTTCCAAAAGGCACCATGGTTTTCCCTTCAGTCTTACCTTTTTCCTGAATGGGATGCAGGTGAACAGGCTAAGCTCCTGCTGTGAATACAAGCATCGAAAAGGTTCCAGACTTGGAGGCAAACGAGGCTACTTTGGGTTTGTGTGTGTCGAGAGATCATCTCCTTGCTACAAGTATGGAAACAAATGTCCTTTGGTAGAGGGCAAGCTTTGCTAAATTTTTCTTCTTAGGCTTTTACTAAGGCATGTCTCTGCATAATTTGTTAAGAAAGAAATCAGTGTAGATGAGCCTAAAATATCTAAGTTCAAAGTTGTTTATTATGACCCTGAGTGCTGTATTTGAAATTATAAGATATACATCCAATTTCCAGAGGTATTGTATAATAGATATAAAAGCTGGTGGTGTTTTAGATTCTGTTTCTCTTTCTTTTTTTTAATTTTAGATTTTTAAAAATTGGCATATTCGTTCTTACAAATTGTGATATTTCTTTATGCCTTTTGCCCAATCTATCACTTCCCAAGCCCTCTCTTTCCCCCATCTCTAGTATCCTTAAGTTTGTTCTCTCTTTCTGAAAGTTCAGCATACTGTTGTGGTCTTTTCTTTCTTTCCCTCATTCCTTCCGTCTTCCCTCCTTGCTCCCCTCCCTTCCTTCCTAGCAGCCAGTTATGAGTGAGAACATGTGTTATTTCTATTTCTTTGTCTGGCTTATTTCACTTAACACAATTTTCTCCAGACTCATCCATGTTGCTGCAAATGTTTCTGTCTCTCCCTTTCCTCATATTGCTATAAGTTCTTTTTCTGAAGGGGAGGAAAGAGGAGGATGTTGTTTTGTTTTGTGTTTTGTTTTTTTTCTCATTACTCTTAGTAACTGGTTTTGGGCAGAACCCCAAAGCGTGTGCCATGCATCTGACTTGTATGGTTGGGTATTACAGGTTACGCATATTAGAGATGTGCCTGCATTATGGTGTGGCCATATCTTCATTCTATTTCCCTACTTTCAGTCTCAGGCATAACAAAAGGTATGATAAAAGGTCAGTTTTCAGGCTGGCTGGTTAGCTCTCTTGGTTAGAGCCTGGTTCTGATAAAAGGTCAGTTTTGACTTTTGTTTATCAGCTTTCATATTGTGCATTCTGTTTGAAATCGGGAGTCTTGCTTGAGGGATTTCTTTTATTTGTTTTCTGAAAGTACTCATGGAGAATCAACTATTCAGTAGTTGTATTTCCTGCTGGAAAACAGGGGCAAACCAACCAAAGTATATGTCTCCATGGAGACTTTTCTAATGGGAGGAGGGCAAATAATGTACCAGGAAACCAGTTAATACTTGTCAAATGACAATAAGCGTGATGAACATGGTAACGGAGAAATATAGGGAATGACGGAGGACAACGGTCATAGGAGGGTGTTATTTTATGCTGGATGTTCAGGAGAGGCCTCTCTGAGGAGATGTCTTTTGAGCAGAAACTAGAAAAAAAGTCTCTTCCTCCAAATAGCTCTTTAGGTAGAGGAAAAGCATATACAGTGGCGTGAGACTGATGTGTCTTGATGTGTCTAAGCTCGTGTGGCCAGAGCAAAAGTAAGAAATAGGACGAGATAGGAGATGAGGTCTGAGAGACCGTGAGGCCAAGCCATGTAGAGTCCTAAGGTCAGCAAGGACTTTAAGTTTTATTCTGAGAAGGATGAGAAGCCTCTAAGATAGGTTTTGAGCAATGACCTAGCATGACAGTAGCTCCTATGGGAAAAATAAACTAGGAGGACAGGGGCAAGAGTGAAAACTACTTTAACTCAGGGAAGAGATTGTGGTAGAAAGACTTAGAAGGGATTTGGTTCTAGATACGTTTTGAAGGTACAGCTTATAGGACTTACCGATGGATTAGATATGCAGGGCATGAGATAAAGAGCAGAGTCAAAGATGATTTAAACGTTTTTGGCCTGAACAACTGGAAAGATGTCCGGTTAATATATACTTAAGATGGGACTGTGGAAAAAGCACGTTTGGGGGAGGGTGGAATAAAGGGGTTTTGGCTTTGAACACATTAATGTAAGACATCTATGAGATATACAAATAGCGATGCTGAGTGGGCAGTTGGATATATGAATCTGGGGTTGGTGAGAGGTCCAGGCTGGGGACATACACGTGAGAATGGTTTGCATGTAGATGGCACTTAAAGTCATAAAAGGGGATGGGATTGCTTAAGAAATACAAATGCTGCATGATCTCATTCATGTGGAATGTAAAAGAGTTGATCTCATAGAACTAGGGGGCAGAATGATGATTACCAGAGGCTTACGGGGGTGGGGGAAGGGGAATAGGGGAGACGTTGATCAAAGGGTAGTCATTACAGTTAGGTTGAAAAAATAAATTTCAAAAGATCTGTTGTATAGCAAGGTGACTATAGTTAATGATGACTTCTTGTATTCTTGAAAAATGTGAGGAGAGTGATATTATGTGCTCACACCACAAAAATAAACAATGTGAGGCAATGCATTTGCTAATTAGCTAGATTTAAGCATTCCACAGTGTATACGTATGTACGAACATCATGTTGTTGTTATAAAAACATACAATGTTATCTGTCAATTAAAAAAAATGAAAAAAGAATTTAATGCAGATAGAGAAGATGTCTGAGTAATGAGTTCCATGTCATTTCATTTCAGAGGTGAGGGAAATAGGAGGAACCAGTCTCAGAAGAAAAGCCAGTGATTACAGAGAGAACCCAGAGACAGTGGTATCTGGACAATGAACAAAATGTTTGAAGAGTAAGGGCATGATTCACTGGGTTGAATGTGTGGATAGGTTAAGTAAAATGAAGACTGAGGATTGGATATTGATTTGGTAGTCTATTGGTGATTGGTGATCCTAGCACAAGTTATTATAGTGGATCTGTAAGAATGTAAGCTTGATCAGAGTGGATTTAAGAGATTATTGGAGGGCCGGCCCGGTGGTGCACTGGAGAGTGCGCCGCTTTGGAGCGCAGCAGCGCTCCTGCTGAGGGTTCGGATCCCATGTGGAGGCCGGTTCCCGCTCACTGGCTGAGCGCAGTGCGGGCGCGACACCGAGGGTTGCGATCCCGTTGCCGGTCAGTAAAAAAGACAAAAAAGGGAAAAAAAAAAAAAAGAGATTATTGGAAAAAAACTAAGGACAGAGACTATAGACAACTTTTTAAAAAAGTTTTGCTGTACATAATAGTAATTGGGTGGTAGCCAGGAGGAAGAACATAGGGTCAAAGGAGCTTTTTATTTTTTAAGATGGGAAATATAATGTTTATATGCTAATAGATAGGATTGATACCCTAGAGAAGAAAAAAAAAGATGAAGCGTAACATAAAGGGGGAAATTGCTGGAGTGAAGTGCTAGAGTAGACTAGAGAAGATAGGATCTCAGGCTCAAGTGGTGTTGTAAACCTTAAGGAGAGGAGAAACATTCTTCTATAACAGGAGGAAGAATTGCATATAGGGTAGAAAGATAGGTAAGATGGTGGATGTGCTGGAATCAACTGGAAGTTCACTGCTGATTCTTTCAATTTTCTCATACAAGAAATCAATCTTTCAGCTGAGGTTAAGGTTAAGGTTGAGGGAGGAGAGATTGGAGGTATTAGGAGAGAGGAGAGGTGTGAAAGAATCATCCAGGGAATAGGAGACTGAATGGCCTAGGGCAGTATAGTACCAAGGCTCAGCTGTACTTAGGGCCCACCTGAATTGCCTTCCAGTTCCAACTCAAATATGCTATCTCCTTATTTGTGGGCAAGTCATTTAAAGCACTTCTATTTAACTCCAGGGAAGCTAATGAGCTTATATACAATAATCCATGTGCAAACACATTGCATTCTTTGGGAGTTGCTATATAAATCTAAGCTGTAAGTTTTTAACCCTGAGAACTTTCTATGGAGGTTTAATAATCAGTACCAAAATGTGTCTGATGACATCTATTCTTCTATTCAACATCTACTAGCCTCTATACAATTCTTTCTATGATTTCAACACTTGGTCCCCTCTAGCTTCTTTCTTCAACCTTTTCAAATAATAATAGAAAAATTATTGTAATATAAAGAATAAAACCTATTATCCTTAACTAAAATGTGCAGTTCTTGTAGGCAAGTGGTTTTCAATTTTTTGTTAGCTTTGTAACCATCTCTTCCAATGAAATCTGAATGCCCAAAGTAGAACAGTGTAGGATCATTTGATGTCTCCGCATTGCAGATCGGGTGAAAGTCGAGTCAGGCTGGTTTCAATGTGACAGGGGTAGATGGTGAATGCTACTGCCTTGCTTGTTTGGTCCTTGCCCCACTTGAGACTATTCTGGTTATTCCAGAGCCACTAAGACAGCAGAATTCCAGTGAGAGTTGAGAACTACCCCAGAGGAGACCAATATCATTTATTATATTGTATAACCTTTTTTCTTTAGTCATACCCATAAGAATGCTTTTAGTTATTTTATGGAATACATTAATTCCTCCAATTTGTTCAAAATAAAATTATTTGCAATTCATTTAAAAAAATACTTGTCCCTGGAACTTTTATGATGAGGAAAAAAAAAAAAAAAAAGGCACTTCCAGAGTATGAAGATTCCATAATTGTACTCATCCCTCAATCATGGGAACTGTTTAAAGAGGCACAGCAGTTATTTTTAATTGTGAGAGTGAAATATGGGAAAAAGGACTGCCTAACTGAGTGGAATGCAGACTGCTTCGAGCTTTAGTAATCAGAATCAACACCTCACATTATACTCAGAAGTCAAATAGGTAGTCTGTGAGGAGAGCACAGATGTTACTCCCTTAGTTTGTCCAATTCCCTTCAGCAGATGGGCAATAAAGAGCCTGTGCATGCAGTAGGGAGGCATTAAAGCTTTTACACAGTCACAACATAAACCAAAAGTAACAGCATATCAAAGGCTCTGAATCAATGGATTTGGTGTTGCCATTGATAAGGGAAGAACAGCTTGAACAGAAGGCAATGCTCGTAATCATATTGTGTGAAGATTCATGACACTTTTATTCCAAGGAAACAAACGTGTTAAGCACACCATCACTACAGCCAAGAAATATTTATCATGCTTAATATGGGTGAGGTAAGTATATTTTTATCATCTCATGTTTTATTGCCTGATAGTTACTTTGAGTGCAAATCCTTTTAGCTTTATTTTATGGGGAGATATTGAAAAGTTATGTGATATAACTCAGTTCTCATATTTGCTTGTTGGGAGAATTTATTAAGATCAATTCCTATGCTATTTCTAGACTGGAGATGGCTGAAATTCAGGGAAATCTTCAGTTTAAAAAATTGCCATTGGATTTGATTCAGGTGGAGGCAATTTGCAGATTTTACATATTAGTCCTATTCTTCCCAGGCTGACAAGTCTGGACTGCACTCTGAGGCCCTTTCACCTATGCACTGTCAGTGACTCAGTTCCCTGGTAGTTGCGTCGCACCAAGAGAGGAGCTGTGCATAGTTGTAGAGAAAGAGGAATATGGAGACTGATAGTTTGTCAGGTAACTTTTTCAGGTCATGAATTGTCACTAGACCTCGGTGGAAACTTCTCTAGATTGTGTTAGTTTCTGGTGAGAGAGTGTGAGTACTTTCCCTGGCGGTAAGCCCAGCAAAGTAACATTTGTGTGACTAGTCATCTCAGAGGCGTACACCTGTAACAGAACAATCTAGTGCTTCATTGTGAGGGGATGGAGTCTCGCAGTCTCGAGCTGGAATCAAGATCTATCACTAGCCTGCTGGGTAACCTTGGGCAAGTCATGGAACCTTTTAAGCCCTAGTTTTCTCATTTGTAAAGTGGTGATGATAGTTCTTGATTTATTGGTCTGTGGCATAATGAATCCCTTAAGATAACGTATATAGAGTACCCAGCAAAAAGCTTGGCACAGAGGGAGTGCTTAATAATCTTATCATTATCATAATTATCATTTTTATTAATATGTATGTTATAAATATTGGAATTCTTATGTTGATATTAACTTGAGAGAGAAAAAAGCTATAGAAGACAATTTATTCATATTAATTTTGTTGCAATTGATTTAAAAATATTTTTTAATGTTGTAATATGTTGAAATAATCTGTGTGGTTCAATAGATTTGAGTTGGAATGACTTTATGATCTCTACAAATTATTGCCATTTCCAAGGGATAAAAGCATCTTGCCAGCAAAATCACCATAAGATTGTAGTACAAGCTTCAAAGGCCATTCTAAAAGCAATAATGGTAATTCTATTAAAATAAATGTGCAGACACCCGAGTTGTTAAAGGGTGTGATAACATTTTATTACATATGTTTCTTAAAAAAATGAATCATATTTTTTTAGGGTCAACTTTGTATGTAAGTCTTTTGTTGTTATGTTGTTGGAATAATAAATTATCAAGGACTGAATGGCATCTTTCTTCTGGTTATTTTTATCTCCCTGTGTTTATAAACCCAAATGTTCTTTTATCACATAATTCTCATTTAAGGAATTGAATTATATATATATATATATATATATATATATATAAAATTTATATTAATATCTCTCTATATATCTATATCTATGTCTGATTTTGTTATAAGGCCAGAAATATGCTTTAAAGCACAAATCTTAGTTCAACATTATTGTTCATGGTTGATGAGTTGCTTAGTTTTATTGTTCATTTTTGGGGGTAAAATTATTAAGAATCTGTTGTTTTCATTTATAAGATTTTAGTGTCAATAAAAAGAAAATAGTTTAAGTTAACCTATGTGTACTATAATAAATATATTTCTTGTATCATTTCTTACTAGAATAAGACATGAGTGATTTTAAAAGCTTTGAGGTTTCACTGTAATACATATAAGGATTAATAAATACTTCATGTTAATATTTTTCATAGATGCATTATTGCAATGGGCCTTGACAAAAACACATCTTCACCAAAACCTAGAAAAGAAAAGAGCACTGAGAAGAGAGAGGAAGTGAAGAAAGGTGAGGGAACACTGAGGAATGATAGAAAGCACTTGATACCAAGAAGAAATGAGACCAAGGAGAACAGAGTCTCAGCCATTTTTTCAGCTCAAGAAATAAAAACAAGGGTCAGAGAAGTGAGAACTGCTGTGGAAGAAATGGAACGTAAAGGAAAACCAGGACAAGATGTTTGGGAAGATGACCAGGAACATGCTTTTAAATATGGTAATCAATAACACAAGATTCTTTTGTTGTTGCTGCTGTTGTTTTGTTTAACTTTTAAAAATGTGATTATCAAAATTTGCAGAAATATCCATTATATGATGTTACTTGGTTGTGGTCTTTAGGCAGCTTCGTTACATGGGGGGAACCCCTGACCACCTTCCTCTGCTGTTCAGTGTGGAGTTCTGTGTCACCTGCCTTGGAGGAGGATAGATGTAACCCCAGAAGGGTCGAAGGTGCTTGTTTCAAGGACTAGGGAGGGGAAAGGGTGTTTATGTCGGTGTGAGCCAGAGATTCTATTGACTTCTGCAGTGACCACTTTGATAAAGTAGAATTTTGCCTATTTTTTGGCTTTTGAATATACTTGCTTTGGTGAAACTGATGAATTGCTTTGGCATCAGGTAGGTACAACCCGTATGAATACATGGTAATAGAACGTTCCTTCACTGAATGTGGTTGACCTAGGCTTGGGGTTCTGGAGCTTATCCATCTGCCTATTTAGCTTTCTTCTTCTCTCTTCTCTCTCCTCTCCTCTCTTTCTCTCTCCATGTATATACACGCACATTCATATATACATACACACATACATAGAGAAAACCTAAAGTAGTAATAACAACAGTAATAAAAGTGTGAGGCACTGAGCACTGGGCCACGCACTTTCCATTTATTATCCCTTTTTCTCCTCACCATTTGATGTGGTAGATGCTATTACTCCTTCCATTTTATAGGCTGGGAAACCAAGGCTCAGACACACAGAGAGAAAGCAGTGGAACAAGGATGTATACCTAAGTGTGTGTAATTCTAAAGCTCAGACTTTCAAACACTGTACAAACTTCTGTTCTATACAAGCTGTCCTAAACACTACGTGGTTGTGGGTGATGGGTCCAAACAATTAAGAAGGGGGAGCTGCCTGAGTGTACCTCTTATACCCAGAAGACAAAGCCTGGATTAAAGGAACTACAGCCAGGGGTTGGAGCGACCTGTGGAAGGGCTGGCATCGGAAAGGGGTAACTGCTAGGTATATTTTTCTTCACCTCATCTTGTTGCTGCCCAAGGGATTTAGAAATCCAAGAGACAAGTTACAGAGATGTTATAGCACTGGACTTTATGTTTGCTCATTGCTGAAATAATGTGCCTATTAAAAAAAAATTAACTCACAACACTTTTACCCAGTTACCTCTCTTCATGATCCCTTCTAGTCTTTATTCGTATCTTGGTCTGAGACTTTAAAAATATCTGTAGCAAGTGCAATCACACAAAGATAAACAAATTGGATGTGTTTTTTTATATGTTTTACCTTTTAAGACATAGAGCTTTATTAAAGCCATGTTCAACAGAAGCTTTTCATTTTCTTTATTATTTTTTTTCTTAAACCAACGTGGTTAGAACTGTGAGTGGCATACTTTATACCTATGATACAGTTTTTCCTGAGGTCTTTCTTCTGTGTTGGCCATTTAATGGACTTTAAATGTTCATTTCCATTAAAATAAATAAATAAAAGCAGCAACAGCAGCAGCAGCAGCAGCGGCAAGGATTTTAGCTCCCTGCAGAACAGCTGCTGATGTAGGGGCAGCAAGAAGGTCGAGTCAAGGTCAGTGAGGGAAGGTTGCGGCTGGATTGCTGTTGACCTGGTGTTGACTCACATCCTCATTAGTGGGGATGGGAGAAAACAAACTCATTACATTCTCTAGAAGAAGGAAAATGGGATGGGGGAAACAGAAGAGATGATGAAAAGGATTCTGGAAAGCAAACCATTAGTTCATTCATACTGAAAACATGAGTAGATGACAGGAAAGTGGTGTGCTTTGAGCTGTAATGCTAAAGGAAGGCTGTGGTTAGCAGAAGGCTAATGTTTAGACATGATGATAGCAGGGGTAGAACAAAGTCAGGGTAGCCTTGAATTTCATATTTTGAGAGAAAACAGAGAAGCTGCTGTAAAATAGGATGCAGGGACTGTTCATGTGATTCCTTCAGTTTTATGTTGTGATTCAATGTAACTAATTGTGTTCTAATTATGGACACTTGTACTGCTCTGATTTTAATCAGGTGCCTCCATTAAAGTGTGATTTCTCCTGTTTTATGACCAACTCCCTCTCCAACCCAACACAACTGCTGTTACTACTAATCCCTCATATTTATTATGTACCTGCCACTCATGGCACTGTTCTAGGGAGTATTAATTTTAACACTCACCGCAGCTTTGTACTACTCATGTTATGAATAAAGAAAAAGTAAAGCATAAAGATGACAAACAAGTTTTCCAAGGCCACAAAGTAAGTGTTTTAACTGGGCCTTGAGCATGACTGCCTGACTCCAAAACCCTCACGTTTCACTGCTCTGTAGCACTGTGCATGGAACTGAAGTGCTCCACTCATGTTCTCTCTGGGCCTAAAATGATACATGTGTGTATTTTTCTGCTAACCTCACCTCCTCCTCTTATGAAGTCTTCCATGATTCCCTAAAATGAGTCCTTATCCTCCTTTGATTCCATTTCACTTACTTAACATTTCTTCATATAATTAATCATGAGTCCAATATGAGAATTCATACCATTTGGGCCCAGTAATGTTGAAACTAACATCACAGAGGGCCATGTATAAAAACTACTGTAAAATGAATCTCTTGTGTACCTACATCTGATATCCTCAATAAAAATAGGGGATTCCTTGATGGCAGGGTTGTCTTATTGTAATGTCTCTTATCTTGCAATTTTATCCTCTTCCACAGAGAATGTTCTCAGTGAAAGCTTATTGTTTGACAATTAAGTGGGCCAAGTGATGACCTATCGTATAACTCGGCCAGAAATACTTAGATCAAAATATTTGTTTTTACTAGTATTCTGTGTCATGGAATATAAACCAAATTCTTCATCTTCTTGCTTATATTAAATTTTTATTTTACTAATATTCACATTTCTTGTTTTAATGTACTAAATCTTTCATGAAAATATTTTTGTGATTAATTCTCTGTTTGCCTTTCTTCATTACAGTTTTTAATTTCTCTTTTCTTCTTACATCTCCCTTGTTTGTTCTCTGAATTAACAGAGCTTTCTTCATATACACGGGGCATACATTTCTAAATTGTTTCTTTCATTGCAGCAGGTGGACAGCTTTCAAATAAATTATACAAAAGGCCCCCACCACTGGAGGAGAAGCCAGAATATCTAATAACTAAAACACACAAAATTGGAAAACCTTTATTTTCCCCATAATTTTTATTTTAAAGATAATTGTTCATTTGCTTAATTGGTTCTGCATGAGGTCCGTTTGCTCTCTATCCTTGGCATGTTGTCACTTCAAGATGTTTAGATTTTGGAGAAGGAAAAAGGGGAACAATTAAATATGAAAGGTGAAAAATTATAATCACCAGGGACAGCTGGAGTTTATATGATATGACAATTTCCTTTTCCTGCTACAGATTTGTTGTATCTATGTAGAGAATGAAGAAAATGTGTGGCTGTGACAGTAATATTCTATTTTGTAAGAATTTTTATCCTCAGATTGTGATTATTTCTTTTATTGTAGGAATGAATAGTGTATATGATTTCAGTTCTGGCCGAGGTATAGAATCCTTCATAATTCCTTTTCTTGATGTCCATTTGGTTCTCAAAGAATGTGCTATTCACGATATCACTTCTCAGGGTCTTTGGACTTGATTAATTGAATTTTTCCACTTCACTATTCATTAACTTGATACCCAAATATTTTGAACATTCTTCCTATGAAATATGACCTCACTGGGTCTCCAAATTAACTCTCATTATTATAATCCTGTTCTCTTCATTTTTAATTTATTTCTAATTTATTGTTTTATATCAAATTCTTCTCTTTCCATTTTGGTCATTGTAGATGATGATGTCCATTTGCAAATGAACTTTTATTAGGCTTCAGCCCTGTCATTTGGAGCTTCATTTCTTTTGTGCTCTTGTATATGTAACCGATTTCAATCTTTGATCATTTGCTGTTAGTTTTCCATGTTCACTAATTGTGTGAAAAAGGAAGCAAAGAAAGGCCCAGAGAAGAGAGGATAATGGAGTCAAAGATCCCATTAAAGTGAAATGGGTTAAGTATCAGGATTCTTTTTTCATTCTTATAGTGGAGATTTTCTTTTTTTCAGAATATGAAGAAGATTTTGAAGTAGTTGAGGAGAAACAAGATGAAAAAGCTAATGGAGAAGGACAGGCTGATGATAAAATGAATGGAATATCAAAGTCACCCTCAGATGATGAAACAGATCATTTAGACCCTGAGAAGGACAGTGAAACCTTGTCACAGAAGGCACCAGATGCTGATGACAACGTGAAAGATGAGGATGACAGATGCTCTGAGAGTGAATTGGAAGATGATAAACAAGGCGAGTTGTTTAGCTTATCATATGACATTGGCTGTTCAGTGAGTGTGCCTACTACTTTTTTTCCTTTATATTTAATGAGATAATCCCCTTTTAAGGTAATGTTTAGAGCATGGTTCCCTAACCAGAGAATGCTGGTCAGTCAACCTTCCCTAGATATCCAAATTGTAGAGTCATTCTTTAGTCCTTTCTCTTTCCTTAGTTTTCTGGGATTTTTCAGTAGGGTGTTACACAAAGCTTGTAGCGACCCATTTTCTGTTTACTTAGAAGGTTACTATTTTTGTTAACCCCAAACTATACTCCCCCCCCACCCCCCCACCCCCACACACACCCTATTTAGTGGCTTTGGAAAAATGGAAGGTAGCTTTTGCTTGTACTCCATTAAAGGCAAACGTAAAGATTTGTGCCTTGGGTTTTATTTATTTATTTATATATCTATCTATTTATTTATTATTTACTTATTTACTTATTTTTTTTGTAAAGTTACCTTGAACACAGGATGTTGGCATATTACTTTCATGGAAGGATTAGTAGCTTCCTCATAATCTTCAGGCCTAAAATGACCAAATGTTCACATGGAAAATACAAAGTTTTTCAGGTGAAAAAGAAACCCTCATCATCTAGGCATACCTTAAATTTTTAAGACCTTTTTAAAGACCTTAATTCACCTAAATTCTGTCCAGTGAAAGAAGAAACTTATTTTCTACCTTGTCCTATAAGAGGGTGTGGTCAAGGCTCTGTGGTTCTTAAAGATCTCCCTGGAGCATTCACAATGATAACAATAAACTTCTCATATCTAAGTATGTGTATGTATTTGCAATTTTCTTCTGATTAGAGAATGATGTCACTTTTTGATGACTTTTTAAGTTGCTGGCCACTTTCCCCATTCTTTTCATCTTTGAAAACATTATTTTCTTTATAAAATCTCAAAATCTTGAATTCAAGAAATATATTATGACAATATAAGAGTAAAGTAAGTAATTACATGAGCAATCATTTAGTTTATAGTTCTATTTGCTTCAAAAAAGAATTCAAATGTTGTCTTCTAAAATTTCATGCACACATATGCAAGGCAGTGAAATAAAGAACAGAGATAGCTTAGAGTAAAAAAGAATATAAGCTTATCAGAAACCAGAGATAGGACCACAACTGTGCTTGAACTAAAACTTTAATCCTGGGCTTCCTGACAGCCACAGTAAAGAATGAAGCACAATGTGAGAAATTAGAATGATGTTAGCTATTAGTATATTTGAAAACAATATTTGTTGTCACTTTTAATAGAGTTGAAAGAACTATTCAAGATTATTTGTCAGGCACTGAAATTTTTTTTTAAAGTCTTAAAGCAGGCTTTTTCTATAATTTGTCTCAATTTTACACTTTATGTTTCTTAAACTAGACATGCTTAATATATAAGCTCTTTTCTCAATTGAAATGTGCATGTCGAAGTTAGGTTTATATTCCTATATGACATGGAAAAAGTTATGCTATGAAAAAGTGATTTCACCTGAGTCAATAATTTTAAAGAAACTATCCAAATGACTTGAACCTGGAAAAGGATTGAAAATGTGTTTGCATATAAATATAACTGGCTAAAAACACAAAGGACTCTATTGTTTCTTTAAGAATTAAAATAGAATATATATATGTATATACATACTATATATATCAAGTATGTAAGTGAATATTATTGCTGATTCTTCTACAATGATATTCCTATTATTCATATTTACTTTCCAAGGAATGGTTAAAATGTACATTTTTAAAAATTGTAATGTAGTTGCTTGTACATATCTGTGGGGTACAGAGTTCAATGTCATTACCTGTGTGCAACATGTTATGCTCAAACCAGGATAATTAGTATATTTGACATTATACAAAGTAATCATTTTTCATGGCTCTTTACCAATTCCTCCCTTACCCGGCCTCTCTTTCACAACTCTGGCAACCTCAGTTCTGTTCTGTCCTTTTTAAAATTCAATATATTATTGTGATGATTGTTATCTTTCTTTCTTTTCATTTATTTGTTTACTTTTTAGCTCCAACTTATCAGTGAGGACACATGTTATTGTTCTTTCTGTTCCTTCTTTATTTCACATAACATAATTTTCTCCAACTTCATCCATGTTGCTGCAAATGGCAGAATTTCATTCTTTTTTATGGCGGAGTAGTATTCCACTGTGTATGCAATACCACATTTTCATTATCCAGTTATCCGTCAGTGGACGTTTAGGTTGGTTCCAACTCTTGGCTATTGTAAATAGAGCTGCAATAAACATGGGAGTGCAGGTATCCCTTCAACATGATGATTTCCATTCCTTTGGACATGCATCTAGCAATGGGATTGCTGGATTGTAAAGCAGTTCTATCTGTAGATCGAGGAAGCTCCATACCGCTTACCATAATGGCTGCACCAATTTACAGTCACACCAACAATGTATGAGGGTTCCCTGTTCTCCACATGCTTGCCTGCATCTGTTATTCTCTGTGTTTTTTTGATAATGGCCAGTCTAACTGGGGTGAGATGATATCTCAGTGTGGTTTTGATTCACATTTCCCTGATGCTGAAGTTGAACATTCTTTCATGTGTCTTTTGGCCATTTGTATATCTTCCTTGAGAAATAACTATTCAGCTACTTTGCCCATTTGTTAATCAGGTTACTTTTTTTTTTCTTTACTGTGAAGTTGTTTGAGTTCCTTGTATATTCTGGATAGTAACCCCTTTTCGGATGCATAGTTTGCAAATATTTTCCCCCATTCTGTAAGTTGTCTTTTCACTCTATTAACTGTTTTGCTGTGCAGAAGCTTTTTAGTTTGATATAACTCTATTTATTTATTTTTTATTTTGTTGCCCATGCTTTTGGGGTTTTATTCATAAAGTCTTTGCTCAGTCCTGCTTCCTGAAGTGTTTCTCCTATGTTTTCTTTCAGGATTTTTATAGTTTCAGATCTTATATGTAAGTCTTTAATCCATTTTGAGTTGATTTTGATATATGATTTTGTATATCTCTATACACATCTAGTTTCATTCTTGTACATATGGATGTCCACTTTTCCCAACACTACTTATTGAACAGGCTCTCCTTTCCCCAATGTATGCTGCTGTTGCCCTTATCAAATATCAGTGAGTTGTAAGTTTTTGAGTTTATTTCTGTGTTCTCTGTTCTTTTCCATTGGTCTATGTGTCTGTTTTTATGCCAGTACCATGCTGTTTTGGTTACAATAGCTTTGTAATATAATTTGAAGTCGGGTAGTGTTATGCCTTCAGCTTTATTATTTTTGTTCAGGATTTCTTTGGCTGTTTGCAGTCTTTTGTTGTTCCTTATGAATTTTGGGATTGCTTTTCCTATTTCTGTGAAGAATGTCATTGGTATTTTGATGGGAATTGCACTGAATCTGTAGATCACTTTGGGTATTATGGACATTTTCACAACATTAATTCTTCCAGTCCAAGGTCATGGGATATATTTCCATCTTTTTGTGTCTTCTTTAATTTTTTTCAACAGTGATTTGTAGTTCTCATTGTAGAAATCTTTCACCTGCTTGGTTAAATTGATTGCTAGGCATTTTACTTTTTTGGTGACTATTGTAAATGGGCTTCCTTTCTTGATTTCTTTTTTTTTTTTCCTTTTTGTCTTTTTTTACTGACTGGTAATGGGATCGCAACCCTCGGTGTCGCGCCCGTACCGGGGACCGGCACCAGGATCACAACCCGCGGTGTCATGCCCGCACTGCGCTCAGCCAGTGAGTGGGAACTGGTCTCCACATGGGATCCGAACCCTCGGCGGGAGCGCCACCACGCTCCCAAGCGGTGCACTCTCCAGTGCGCCACCGGGCCGGCCCTCTTGATTTCTTTTTCTGCTAGTTCATTATTGGAGTATAAAAATGCTATTGATTTTTGTATGTTGATTTTGTATCCTGCAACTTTACTGAAATTGTTTATCAGCTCTAAGGGTTTTTTGATAGAATCTTTAGGTTTTTTTATATATAGGATCATGTCATTTGCAAACAGGGATAGTTTGACTTCATCTTTTCCAATCTGGATACCCTTCATTTCTTTCTCTTGCCTGATTGTTCTGGCTAGTAATTCTAATACTGTGTTAGATAGGAGTGATGAGTGTGGGCATCTCTGTTCTTCTTGTTCTTAAGGATGATATTGAATGATATTGGGGGTGGGTTTGTCATATATGGCTTTTTTTTTTTTTTTTTTTTGACCGGTAAGGGGATCGCAACTCTTGGCTTGGTGTCGCCCGCACCGCGCTCCGCCAGTGAGCACACCAGCCATCCCTATATAGGATCCGAACCCGTGGTGGGAGCGCTGCTGCGCTCCCAGTGCCGCACTCTACTGAGTGAGCCATGGGGTCGGCCCATATACGGCTTTTATTATGTTGAGATAGTTTCCTTCTATACTAAAATTGCTGAGAGTCTTTATCATGAAGGGATGTTGAATTTTGTCAACTTTTTATGGGTGTGTTGAGATAATCATATGGTTTTTGTCCTTGATTTTGTAGATGTGGCGTATCATATTTACTGACTTGTTTGTGTTGAAACATCCTGTGTCCTTGAGATGAATCCCACTTTATTGTGGTGTATAATTTTTTAATGTGTTACTGTATTCTGATTGCTAATATTTTGTTGAGGACTTTTGTGTCTATGTTTATCAAAGATATTGGCCTATAGTTTCTTTTTTTGCTGTATCTTTGTCTGGTTTTGGTATCAGGGTGATGCTGGCCTCATAGAATGAGTTTGGGAGAATGTTCTCTGTTTCAAGTTTTTGGAATAGTTCGAAGAGAATTTGTATTATTTCCTCTTTAAAGGTTTTGTAGAATTCAGCAGTAAAGCCATCTGGTCCTGGGCTTTTCTTTGTTGGGAGACTGCTGATTACTGCTTCAATTTCATTGCTTGTTATTGTCTGTTCAGGTTTTCTGTTTCTTCTTGGTTCAGTCTCGGTAGTTTGTATGTGTCCACAAGTTCATTCATTTCCTCCAGGTTTTCAAATTTGTTAGT